ATCGATGTGTTTTGTACCCTCCAGCTCTCCCATAGTCTCTACTCCCCTGCCGCTGCAAACGCTAGCAAAACGCTGGTGAAACGCTGGAGAAACGCTGGCGTAACGCTAGCGTGGTGACGCTGGGAACGCTAGATCGATATCCATCCTCTCCCCGGCACTGCCGCTGGCGTACGCTGGAAGCGCTACGCTGCCGCAAAGTATAAACGCAGCCTGAAACCGCTCACATACGCGCAAAACGCTGGATCAATATCTATACTATCCGTCGCTCGAAACGCTGCCGTACGCTCGAAACGGTGACGCTAAGTATGAACGCAACCAGAGGGAGAGAGCTGCTCACGTTGTGATACCAATTACTGAAAAGTGGTCCAAGTACGCCCTCATTTCTTCTTATGCCATCCAAATGCTAGTTTTAGAGGTGAGAAAAAAAGACAAGAGGAGTTTCCAAAATTCACTTATGTCAGGAGATTCTCTAAGATATTTTGAAGGAAAACTCTCACCTGGGTCAAAAATCCTTTGACGTTTTTCCAAGTATTTCTCCAGAAAGATGTGGAGGCACTCGACAAGCTAATATGACGTCGATGAACCAACCATGACGACATTCGTAGACCACATCGCGCAACCAACATATAAGATCGTCACACAAAGGATCTGAATCATTTGAACATTGACACACGCAAATCAGGTCGATAACCAGCAATGTCAATCGATGCAAAAAACATTATCAATTAGTTAGCGATGAACAAAGAAAACACGTCTCGGAACAGGTGGCAAACATTCGCAGTAAGTTAGCAACGTAGCAAAACAACTAAAAACCAGCTCTCGATCAATGAGACCAAAATGTTGGGGCAAGGCCAAAAACTTGGAGGTTTTAGAGTCTCTCAGCTACATCTAAAGATGTTCTTAGACCCATTTACAAGAGCTAATGTAAAGACAAACGGCACACTCACTCCGTGGATCCTGATCCTTGCCATATGTGAGGTCATGTGAGGTTATGTGGGGTGGTCCGCAGCTGCAGTAGCATGCCCCTTGCCCCGCTGAAAACTACACGGGACTAGGATGAAGGGTAGCGAACCCCATACTCTGCTTCGTGCTGGCGCGTGGCCAGCCACACGCCTCATCGTAGCCAAACGCGCTAGATGTCTGTGCAGTCTCACTTTTGCTTGTTCTCTACCGCTGAGTATGCGCTTCGCTGCGGAATCTTGGGATCTGCGCAGGGGCAGCATCTTGAGGACAGCGCGGGCGGAGTATGGAGTCGGCGACGCGTTCAAAGGGATGGAGTTCAAGTTGCCCGTAGACCGTTTTCGAGCATCCTGGAGCGGAGATGGTGGCTCGATACTGTAACCAAAATCACCTCACACATGAAAGCGACCGTCTTCGGAGGTGAGTATACGCTTTGTTTTCAGAAAAAAGGAAGGAAATGCCATGAAAGAACAGTCCAAAACAACGATGGTTCTTTTCACCCCTCACAGAAGCCATTGTCATAGTCGGCGATGGCCATCAATGAGTTCCCTTAACCTAAGGTAACTTGTACGGAGGCCCGTCCTAAGAGGACCCTCTATGCGAGAATTTCCCTCAAAACTTTGACTCCTTCGACAACGACGTTTACGTTCTGGCCCTGTCATCCAGTATTCTGTGATCCCTCTTCTAAGGACACCTAAATGAGATTGTCCTCTGCCAACCATAGGCATGACTATGCCAGGTAAACAGCCAGTACAAGGATTTGCACAGAACCAAATATTTGAATATGGTATCACCACACTCGCATTCTTGCAAACCGGTCTGCATTATTCGCAGACAGCCTTTTTTTCCGCATCCGCGCCTACTTTTGAAGTCACACCCTTAAACCGACCATTCCGCTCGATGAACAATACAACAACGGAGAAGGAAGCGATTGGAAGTATTGGGAGTTCAACGTGAAACGGAGCCGATGCGGAAACGAAAACAAACTGATTGAAAATTCAATGTGGTTAAATTTGAACCACTACGAGGTCAGCAATCTTGAAGTTTTCTTAACATAGTTGCAGTCAAAAGAAATACGAAAACGTTATTAGCGCTGTTGGTTGATTGGCTGACAGGGTCTTGTGACCTTTACACTCAACCTATTTATTACAAAGATTAAAAGAACAGAAGAACGCTTAGATTTGGCCTTCTTGAAACCATGGCATGTGAATGTGTGCGTATTTTTCTTAGGCAATAGCACCTGTACCACCTGTGCTCTTGGTCATCGATTTGCCCGAGCGGTCGTCGGTAACGTCTCCACTTGTCCCTGCAACGTGCTAAAGTTGCCCAATCGTTTGTCTGCGCTCGAGAAGCATGATAAACATCATACCATTCGTTCAGAGCTTTCATGAAGAAGTCTGACCATCGCGTAGGCGGCGGTCCAGGTGTTTGCTTGGCAACATCACAGGGAATCCAGTCGGTAACCGCTCTAGTATAACGGTGGTCCTCGAAGCGCATGACGTGCCCGGCCCACCTGATCTTCGAAACCTTGGCAAAGGCGGCGGCGTCTCTGATCTTCGATCGTCTACAGGTGCGGAGCTCTGGATTCGCTACCCCCTGGATGTTTTTGAAAGCTCCTCAGATCCCTCGCTTCTTCCTGCTCAGCTCTAGAGCTACGTCGTTTATCATATTGATTTCCCGAGTACACCTAGCTAGAGCATTCAGGAATATTCGTTCCACCGAGCTA